ATAGAGAAGAACTTTCAAGAAGGAGAGTACGTTGCTTTCTTCAATTCACGTTGGATTCGATTACATCAAACTCACCTACAAACTTGGCTTTATAGCCATTGTGAATTCATCACTACACCATAACTATAATCACGTGCAACACACATGTTTTCACTTAATTTCTAACTAACTGGACACGTGGCAAGATACACACCATTAAGATGTTTTAATCTTGTCCGTTCAATACACAGTTTGATAAACTCCTACTTTAACACTTGGAACAATTTCGAACTTCTTCTCCTTCTTCATTTCAACAACCTTGAATGATTGAACCAACTGCCATGCTTATGCTCCAACACTCCTTTCTAAGCTGGTAGCTAGTTTAACTCCAAGCTTCTTTCTGAGAGTACAAAATCGATCTTTGGGAGGATCCTTGGTGAAAATATCAACAAGTTGATCTTCTGATTTGCAACATATCAATTTGATGATGTTTGACTGCAATACTTCTCCAGTGTAGTGATACCTTCTTCCAATGTGTTTTGTTTTTTTGATTAAACACTAGATTTCTTTTCAGAGCAATGACAGATGTATAGATAGGAGTTGCTTTAGCTTGTTCTTCACCAAAATCTTGGAGTATAAATCTTAACCACACAACTTGAGTGGTTGCTTTAGTTGCACTCATGTACTCAGCTTTAGCTGTTGACAATGGAGTGCTAACGGGTTTGCAATCCTTCAACCCAAATTTCTGCAATAGACTCACCGCATATTTCCTTTGATTAATGAGAGTTCCAGATTCAGATTAAAGAATTCCCATTCCAAGGAAATGATATAGCACTCCCAAGTCTGTCATTTCATATCTCTTCATCATGTCAACCTTGAATTATTCTTGCAACTCAGTGCTGCTACCTATATAGATAATGTTATCTACATAGATATAGACAATGATGCTTTCATTTCCTCCCATTGATTTCATATAAAATGTTGATTCTTTAGGACTTCTCGTGAATCCACTGTTATGCAAATGAGCATCAATTTCTTCATACCAAGCTTTTGGTGCTTGCTTTAAATCATACAAAGCTCTGCATCTTCCACAACATAACCTTCTGGCTGATCAATGAAGACTTCCTCTTGCAACACACCATTTAGAAAAGCTGATTTCACATCTAGTTGATACAACTTCCACTTCTTTTGAGCTGCTAAAGTTATGAGTGTTCTGATGATATCTAATCTTGCAACATGAGCAAAAGTTTCATTGAAATCAACCCCAGGCTTCTCTGTATACCTCTTAGCAACTAGTCTTGCCTTGTGCTTCTGGATTGTCTCATCCAAATTCAATTTGGTCTTGTAGATCCATTTCACTCCAACAATGGGTTTGCCTGATGGTCTGTCAACTAATTCCCAGGTCTTGTTTTTCTTTATTATCTCAATCTCAGCATCCATTGCTTTCTTCTAAGCTATATCAGTAGTAGCATCCTTAAAATTCTCTGGTTTAATCATGCTTACATTGCATCTAGCATAGATTTCACTCAGAGACCTCTATTTGACCGGTGTAGTCTTAACTGTGCTTGATTCACCACTCTCATTTTGAGAATCAGTTGAAACATGTGTTGCACCTTTGCTCTCTTCTAATTGAATTCCATGATCAGTCAGGTAGATTGAGATTAATAGGAAATGCTAGCTTGTGACAGTTCTCTGCATTCCAATTCCAAACACCCTTCTCATTAAATACAACACTTTTTAACAGAAAAATGTTCTTGGTACTCAAATTGTACATTATGTAGCCTTCTTCCATCTTTCCATATCCAACAAATATGCCTTTCATGGAGGCTTCATCAAGCTTCTGTCTTAATTGTCCAGGTATGTGACCATAACATATACATCCAAACACTTCAAGTGCTGAATACTTGGTTTTCTGCCACTAAAATCTTCAAAAGGAGTTTTGTGTTTCACTGCCTTGGTTGGACATATATTAAGCAAGTACAAAGTTGTGTTAACAGCTTCTCCCCATAATTCATAAGGCAAATGTTTGTCATGGAGCATGCTTTTAGCCATTTCAACAATGGTTCTATTCTTCCTCTCAGCAACACCATTTTGTTGTGGAGAATAAACCAATGTCAACTGTTTCTCAAGCCCTAAATCTTCACAGAACTGGTTAAATTCATGTGAGTTGTACCTTCCACCTGTCACTTCTTAACTTCAGAATTTTGTAGCCACTTTGCAATTCAACCATGGCTTTGAACACTTCTGATTTATGATTCAAAAGATACACCCAACATATTCTGGTTGCATCATCAATGAAGGTCAAGAAATATTTGTTTCCTCCAAATGTTTTGACCTGCATTGGTCCACAAACATCTGAATGGATTAATTCCAGAGGCTTGCTTGCTCTCCAAATTTGTTCTTTACTGAAGCCATCTTTACGTTGCTTTCTTGCAATGCACATTTTACATACTCCAGATGACTTCTTGAGTTTTGGCAATCCCATCACCATTTCTTTATCTGATAACAATTGCCAACTATTGAAGTTCAAATGCCCTAGCCTTTTGTGCCATTCCCAAGCATCACTTTTGCAATTGGTTTTTAGTGTAGAACCATTCATATCTTCCATGAGCAATTGGAAACATCTATTTCCAGTCATTTGTATTGTAACAACATGACTCTCTAAACTCCTATCTTCAAAGATTGCAACATGATCATCTCTAAATAATAGAAAATAGAAAATAACCATGCTGCATCATTTGCCCTACATTTAGGAGGTTTTCATCCAGGCCATGTACAAGCATTACTTCTTTAATGTGTTTGGTGCCCTTCTGGGTTTCAATCACCAAGGTTCATTTTCCCACAAGCTTGAACAATTTGTCCATTCCCCATTTTGATTATAGTTGAAACACTTCTATCCATATTGATCAACATAGGCTTATGTGAAGTCATTTGATTGCTACATTCATTGTCAATATACCAAACATGCTCAATTTTGATAATTGCAGTCAAAGAACATTGAGGTTTCCTTTTTAATTCTCTGTGCAACTTGAACTTGTTGAACTGGTTTACTTTTGCAATCTCTAGCAAAATGATTGAATCTCCCACAATTGTGACACTTAGGCTTTCCTTTGAATCTGTATTCACCATAGTGCATGTTTCCACAAATTTTACAGGCCTATCTTGTATTCTTCTTGTTGTACCAGGGTTTGACAACATTTTGAGACCTATCATTACCATTAAAGTTTCCCTTGTTGTCCCTAGATTTGAAAGGTTTCTTCCCTTTATATCCAGTGGTCTACGATCCATTTTTATTTTGGATACTAAGGCTGCTAAATGCCTTCTCACTTACTTCCTCATCTTCAGTGTGTCTTATCAATCTCTGCTCAAACCTTTTCAGTGTTGCAACCACCTCATTTGGATCAATTTCATCCAATTTCTTAGTTCCCTTAATAACAGATCAATATTATCATATGCTGAAGTTAGACTAATTAACATTTTCTCAATTAGTCTTTTGTTTAAACATCTTCATCTTATTCACAAGACCAGATAATCTAGCTAGATTATCAAAGAGATTCATTATTTTTCATCCTAGCATATTCAAAATCACGGCAAATACTTCGTTGTTTCATAGCCATGACTTGAGCATCACCTTTGAATTCTTGCTTAAACACATCCCAAGCATCATTTACAGTTTCTTGGTTTGCGATTCTGGGAAAGATCTCATCACTCACAACACCTTGTATCAGTCCCAATGCCTTTGCATCTTTGGAGATGAGATCTTGATTAGCAAGGACTTGCTTCTCATCCATCTCCTCCCCTTCCTTTAACAATGTGAAACCATCTTCAATAAAGCTTCACAGATTGTTAGATTTGAAAATTGTTTTCATCTTGATACACCAGAATTCATAATTGACACTAGTGACCACTGGCACACGAAGATCGATGCTAGATCCAGCCATTTCCAAGCTTCTGAGTTCTTCGTTGAAAACCCAGCCAAACACTCACAAATTGACAGATTCATTCCTAGTTTTGAATCTAACCTGGGCCATGTTACTGTTTGAGCTATTTCTGAGCTAGATTTCTCTAAGAATGATGATCAATTCAACAAAAATTGAAATGGATTTGCAAAGGGAATGACAGAGAAGAATTTTCAAGAAGGAGAGTACGTTGGTCTCTCCGATTCACGTTGGATTCAATTACATCAAACTCGCCTACAAACTCAACTTTATAGCCGTTGCAATTTCATCACAACATCGTGACTATGATCACGTGCAACACATGTTTTCACTTAATTTCTAACTAACTGGACACGTGGCAAGATACACACTATTAAGATGTTTAAATCTTGTCCGTTCAATACACAGTTTGATAAACTCCTACCTTAACACTTAGAACAATTTCGAATTTCTTCTCCTTCTTCATTTCAACAACCTTGAATGATTGAACCAGCTGTCATGCTTATACTCCAACATGTTGGTGAGGCTGCTGCTGGCGAACGAAGGAGAAGATGGGACTAATAGTCCTCTCATTTTTGGGGGGGATTGGCTAAGAACTTTTAGTGAAGGTGCAAGTCCACACGAATTTGGGGTCACAAAAACACACCCATAATTTTCTTTTCTTTCAGTGGGGATATTTTTTAACACTAAATCATCATGAAGAAAAAATGCATTGTGAAGATTAAAAGTGAGAGAGCCAAAACAAAGATGGATGCTACTGGTATGAATAACCTTTATATCTATATGTAAAGCCAGCAAGCCAATTTGGGGTCACTGGCTTCACAAAAAAATTTAGGACAAAAATGCCTCCAAAACAAATAATGCAGGGGTATTTTTGTCATATAAATAGTATTTTTTAAATAATAATAATAATTTATTATAATTTTGTCATAAAAATGCTAAACAACTTATTTTTTTGAAGTATGATTCTCTTCCCTCCTAATCTTTCTCCCTTTACATCATTTTCTATTTAAATGGTTGCGATTACGCCACGTCTACATCTTGTTTTGAATTTTTTATATAGAAAATAAGACAAAAAGAAGAGTGAAAGGAGGGATGGAAGGGGATGGTAACAGCAGGAGAGAAAATCCTACCCCCATTTTGTTCCTCCCTACTTGCAGATCAGTAGCTGCAATGCTGTGCTTCTTCTCCTTCTCCTTAATTCTTCTTCACTCCGCAAACTTCATTTCATCGTAACTTTTTCATACGGACATAATCGTGCAAGGTTGGAGCCTATAGATTCGTATCAGAACCCTTTTCCATCTGATATGACACCCACACCTCAAAATCAATTGCGCTCAAAGATTGGAGCCTAAAACAGTTTCTGGCGAAGTTTTGCAGATTCCACTCAAGCTCGCCGAAATTTGGTCTCGGCCTAAAAGAGAAAGTTGATCCTCTTCTGACGATCTTTCTACCTATACATGAATTCATTGAGTGAATTGAAGGGGATTGTTGATTGAATTGGTAATTGGACAATGAGGGAATCTAGAAGATCGGGGCACGTTCTCAAGTTTGTACTACTCTATCCCTTTCTTTCTCTCTTTCTGGGAATTTCTTGAATTTGAAGATGCAAGTTCTGATTTATTCCATCGATGGCTACTACAAATAATGATCTTTGGTGTGTTTGGTTCCCGAGAAAATCAAGGGAAACTGTTTAATTTCCAACAAGAAAATACTTATCTTGCAAATTTCATCTTCAACCTACGGGGTTTAATTCGTTCTTATGTGCAAAGTTGTTTTGAAAGTGACATAGCAGGCTCTGATGCATAGCCTTTATTTGATTCATTGCAGCTCTATCCTTTATTTGATACATTGTAGCTCCAAGATTATAAGAGTCGGCTATTAGTGTTTGGACATGATGGTCCTTACTTTGATCGTGAAGTTGCACAGGTTCTTTTTCGACGTTTCATCACCCAACGCTGCATTAATTTGTGTTGCTTCCTTTAATATCGGTCTCCTACCTGTTTGTGATCATCTTTGTGTATGTGCAATGCATATTATTATCAAAATTGTAGAAAGAAGCAAACAACTTACCGATGAAGATTTTATAAGGTACGATAAAACCAATCATGTTACTCTATGTCTTTCCTGAACTGCCTATTTAAATTTGTTCATTTTAAAATGAGTCAAAGAAACCATTTTTTGGATCTTCCAACACACAGGCCATTGTCCTTGACAAAATGTAAGTAAGATTTAGCTAGATGCTTTTTTAGACATGTCTCTTACCATGTTTGGATGTTTAACTATGCAGTGGTATTGACGCCAAATGATGATCGCTTGAACTAGATTCAGGAAAATGTGAGTTTAGTGGAGAAAAACTGTGTTGCCAGAATTTGGCATTTATGTTAAATGCTGCTTTCATATTTTAGTTTGTTTTTTTTTGTTGTACTGATTATTGTGGCCGCTTGCAGGACAACGTTCTGATTGCCACATCTGGCCGTAAAGGTAGAGTACAACCATGTTATTTCGATGCAGTTTCTATAAATTTCGAGTTTAGATAGAGTAATGGTTGAGATAAGGGAAGGATGTGGCTCAAGATTGCTCTTAATTTTTTTTGTTAATTGCTGCATTTGGTATTTTAGACTTTTTTCGGGCTATACTGATTATTGTCGCCGCTTGCAGGAACGACGTTCTCATTGCAGGATTTGGTGGTAAAGATAGAGTACATTTGGGACCCCACAATCTGTGTGTTCAGCTTCCGGACTTCCAGTCCATAGTTGGGAGATAACGAATTTTCAAATATCAAAGTTTAGGATTTTTGTTTGGCCATCATTGACGAAGTAAAGGTAACTCCGTTCTGGATTTCAGCATTTGGGGTTTCATTTATATATATGGATCTTCCAATGCAAAGGGCATTGTTCTTGAGAAAATGCAAGTGAAGTTTAGCTAATTGTCTTTTCCATTAAAAATCCTAACCAATCATTTTTAGCTAATGGCTTTCAATTTTCATTCTACATTTGTATGGTTCAGTTAACTTCACAAAAAAAACACTTTCCCACTCGGACAATAGTATAGAAGTCTTAAACATGAACATGTATGAAGTGTTTCGTAGTGTTTGTCTTCCATTTCAACGAAGTGTTTGGTAGCAAAAATATCGTTATGCATGCACAAATATGAATGGGAAAAACTCTATATGTCGCATGCTGTGACTCCTAAGCCCTTGCTACGCAAACTTCCTTCTAAGTTCAACAAAAGCATGGATATCTAATATTCACTCTTTGCCAAATAAATTGGCCAAACAAAAGGAAAATATTTGTAACTCACAATATACACATAAATGGTACTGTATGAATCGACATGAATTTTTATTATTAACATCACTTTCATATGTTACATCTTTTGACAATTCACAATTCACAATCCTCATGTTCTCTTTTCTTTTTTCCAAAATAAATTTTCGTGTTTTTTTTTTTTTTTGTTCATGTAGGAATACTAAAAATTCCAAGTTGACTTCAACAGATCAAGTATGGAGGGATGTGATCGTAGTAATATATCACAGGTTGTCATCTTAATTGCATTTCTACTCTTTTTTATTGACTAAAATTTCAGTGTTTTGCTGCTTAATGTTTCAATTTTCTTTTTTTATATTAGTAGGGTTCATTTACCTTCACACAAAAAAACCTTGCTTCCTTTTTTTTTTTTCTCACTCGAATCAAAATACATAAGACTTAAACCTGCAGTTTGGTTGGAGATTTTACAATTGCACCTTCGTTGTAGTTCAATATGATTTTTTTTTCTTTTTAAAAAAAAACTAAAATTCATTCTCTTTTGCAATTTCTTCGTATAGGTCGGCAATGATGAAGTTCGATTGGGGCAAATAAATGTTCACAATTCTCGAGAACAATCAAAGCAAAGGTTTCGTAGGAGAAATCAACAAAGACATAGGCGCCAAATTGCGAATTCATCACAGAGGGTTCAAAATTCAATGCAACGACATGCTAATTATCAAACTCAATTAACTCTGTAAATATAGTACAAAATCAAATGGAAAAAACAAAGAAACTATAGAATCAACATCAGCGGGTAATTATGATTTCTTTCTTTTGGACCCTAATAATTATATATTTGTAAAACCATCTGATGTATGAATATATTTGGACAAAAATACCCTCCAAACAAAAAATTCAAAAGCAGCCCAAAATAATGCAGGGGTATTTTCGTCATATAAACAGTATTTTTAATAATTAATTATTTTTTGCACAGTTTTTTTTTTTAATTTTTTTAATTTTATTTTTATAATTAATACCTTACAATAGGCTACCAATAATGTGATTTAATCATTGGTTTATTTAATATTATTTTCTCTATTTTTAAACACGTCCAAAACATCTTAAGAGGCGTGTAGTGCCAGTTATAAAAAAAGTCTTCCACACGCGCATAATAATGTGATTCAAAAACATTCCCTTCTTAGAAGTTGCCATTTCAATGCGAAGGAAATATTTGAGTGTCCCAAGGTCTTTGATGGCAAACTTCTGCTTAAGGGTGTTCTTTAGTAACACAATTTCACTGGAATTATCACTAATGGCAATGAGATCGTCCACATAAATAAGAACAACTAGGGTTCCACTAGGACAAATTCGAACAAAGAGAGATGAACCTACATTGCTTCTTTTGAAGCCAACTTCTTCAAGAATTGAGCTCAACTTTGACTACCAACCACAAGGGGATTGCTTTAATTCATAAATGGATTTGTGCAGCTTGCAGACTAACTCGGGGTCACTTGATTAAGGATGACCAGGAGGGAGTTTCATGTAAACTTCTTCTTCAAGTTCACCATTCATAAATGTATTTTTGACATCCATTTGATATAGAGGCCATGTATGGTTAATTGCAACAGATAACAACACTCGAATTGTGTTCATCTTAGCTACAGGAGCAGAAGTCCCCTTGTAATCTATACCAAGGGTTTGAGTAAAACCACAAGCTACCAGTCTAGCCTTGTGTCTTTCCAAAGTTCCATCAGAGTGGAACTTGGTTTTGTACACCCATCTACTTCCCACTGCCTTTTTTCCTAGTGGTAGCTTGATAACACTACAAATTTTATTGTCATCCAAGGCTTTCAACTCTTTCTTCATAGCTTTTATCCACTCATCTCGCTGCATTGCTTCCTGAAAACTTCTTGGTTTAGAAGCATTAGATATGGAATTGAGAAAGGCTACATGCTTTGGTGTCACCCTTTGGTATGAAAGATACTCAGCGATAGGATACCTTGCATTGTAAGTCACATAATCCAGCAGCCTTGAAAGAGTGAAGGGTTTTTTCTTCCTTGAGGCAAGACATGTGACGGTTCAGGGTCCTCAGAAGGTGAGTGGGATGTAGGTGACTTAATTGATGGTTCTAGCAAGGTTTCCTCTTCATGACTTAAAGAATTCTCATGTTCTTTGTCAGTGGACATGGATATATTTTCCTCACCGGTTGTTGGACTCGGTAAAGGCAATATTTCGAAGGCATTCTCCCCCTGACTTAAACCCTTCACTGGTTGTTTAAAGAAAGGTGTAGTTTCATCAAACTTTACATCCCTTGAGACAATGATTTTCCTTGAAGAAGGATTGTAACACTTGTAACCTTTTTGTGTTGAAGAATATCCCAAGAAAACACATTTGCTAGCTTTTGGATCAAGCTTGTCACGGTATATTGAAGCAACATGAACATAACAAGTACAACGAAAAATTTTCAAATGAGATAAGTCAATCTTTCTTCCTTTCATGACTTCGTAGGGTGATTTTTGATCCAACACCCTACTAGGTAGTTAATTAATCAAATAGGTAGCAGAAAGCACCCCTTGAGACCAAAACTTCTTGGGAACTTTCATATGTAACATTAAGGCTCTAGTTTTCTCAAGAAAATCCCTATTTTTACTCTCGGCCACTCCATTTTGTTGAGGAGTCCCAACACAACTTGTTTGATAAAATATCCCATGGGAACTTAAGTATTGAGATATGTTATTTGACATGTACTCGGTGCCATTGTCAGACCTTAAGGTGTGAATATGACAACCAAAATGAGTTGTTACAAGTTTATGAAAATCTTTAAACACATTCATGACTTCACTCTTGCACTTTAAAAGATATAACCAAGTAATCCTTGAATAATCATCCACAAATATTACAAAGTATTTATAACTGTCAAAAGATTCAATTGTAGGTCCCTAGATATCTGAATGAACAAGTGCAAACAATTTACACTGAGGAATTGAAAGGTAACCTAGTACATTTGGAGAAGTGACAAGTATCACACTCCAAACTACATTTACATATTGTGGGAAACAAAATGGACAAAGCATGGCTTGAGGGATGAGTAAGACGATGATGCCGAAGTAGTTGTTCCTGAGAAGGGCTTGAGCTGCCTTGAAGACTCTTAGGTTTTGGAAGATCCTTTGAAAGATAGTACAACCCATTTAGGAAGAAACCCTCACCAATTTTCCTCTTGGTGACTATATCCTGAAAGATGACCTGATTAGAAGAAAAAATAGCATGACAATTTAGTTGTCTTGTGATTTTTCCTACTGATAAAAGGTGAAATGGAAAGGAAGGAACATACAAGGTTGTTAACTCTATTTGATCAGAGATCAACTTAATTTTCCCTTTTCCAACAATTGAGACACCCTTACCATTTGCTACTGACACTTGTGAAGAGTTTTTCATTTTTTTTGAAATCATGTAAATGTGAAGATTTGTTTGTCGTATGGTCTATGGCTCTTGAGTCTATTATCCAATTATCATGCACAAGACTAGCATTCAAAGCAGTGGAGAAAGCTTTCAATATACCTGGAATCTATTTACTTGAGCTTCCATGATCAGAATCAGCAAGAAACCTAACAAAGTTGCTCAGCAAGGTAGTAGGGTTTTCAATTTCAGTTCCAGTTGTGTTCTATAGATCTCCAGTTCTTTGTCTTCCTTGTAAATTGACAGAAAACTCGTTAATCAAGTTCACTGGATTTGAAGTGAGCTCAAGCAAACTTTCACTTGAGGAAGGAGGGCAGCTAAAGCTGCATGATTAACTTTGTACAAGGGTGGTTGTGAGTTTCTTTGGAACCCTTTGTTCTTTTGGAAGTTTGGCTTAAGCTCAAGATGTAGAATCTAACATTTGTCAATGGTGTGTCCACCATAGTTGCAATGTTTGCACTTCAGGTCAAACCTTCTACCCTTGTCTCTTCTGTCATCCGAGAACTTATGGTTTGAAAAATATGCCCTAGACTCAGGCAAGCTGTTTTTGGTTTCAAGATTCATCACGTTGAATAATGGCACATACACTTGAGAAAGAAGACAACTCATTGTTCATCAGAATGTGATTACGTAGATCTTCATAGTCTGAGCTAAGACTAGCCAAGAGTTGAAAAATCTTATCTTCTTGAACTCTCTTTAGAAACATGGAATCATCTGTGGTGTGAGGCTTGTATACATCAAGCTCATTCCACATACTCTTGATATCACCCAAGTGTTGAACAAAAGACTTACTTTCTTGTTGCAAGCCTGCAAGCTCCATTTTCAGTTGAAAAATCTGGGCATCATTGTTTTGATTTCCATACATATCGCAGACATTTTTCCAGAGATGGAAAAAAGACTATGAGTAGCTGAAGATCTTAGCTAGCTTCCTCTCCATGGAGTTGAGAAGCCACGATATGACAAGTTGGTCCTTGCATAGCCATGACTCCTATAAAGGTGATGAGATTTCAGGTGCCTGAATGGTTCCATTCACATAACCAAACTTTGATCATCCATCGAGAGCAAGTGAAATTGCTCGAGACCATGGAAGATAGTTGAACTCATTTAGCAAAACTGAACTGAGTCTTTGATTTGGATTAACTTCTAATTCAGTAAAATTTAAAGTGGGTGAAACACTAGAGCTCGCAGTATTAGGATTGGGAGGATTTTCCTTAGCCATTTGAACCAGCTATGGAAAACAAAGGGGTTGAAGAAGATATGTAGAGACAGGCCACTGTGGTCACTACTCTGATACCATATTGAATTTCAAGTTTTGTATATTGATTATGAACTTTACAAGAGAGAGAAACAGAACAAAGCTCTTATAGAGAGTTGGAGAACAAATTACAAAATGTGGACTTCAGCCACTACCTACCACATGGTTTCTGCCCTAAAAGACCAGACACAACAAGGGCTAAACAAATAACAATATACAAGTAAGGAAATCCCAGATTTTAGGGAGAAATATTGACAAGTTGGAAGGTTGTAGCCATCACTTTAACCCATAACTTAGCTATAGTGATAATTACAACCCATACTTGAGATTTACTTTTGATTTTGATCTATTCCAACAACATCCCTTCCAAGTACTGAAGTACATATTTCTTTGTTTACATAAATTATCATGACATATTTGACTCTTTAGTCTTTCCATTGTTCCCTTCTTATCCTCTCAACACTCCAGCACGTCCAAATGATAAGATAACCCATACTTGCCTCTTTAGTCTTTCCTATGTCATTGGATCTAGTCCAACATCACATCCATTGGTAAAGCCACAATATAGGCTAACCTGGGCTATAGCCTAGGTAGCTTTGGGTAAGAAAATAAAATTTCTACATGTCATTTTTATTGATTTTCGAATGTAGCCCATCATATATTTAGTTACTAGTCCTAATTCTCTTGGTTTAATAATATAAAATTATATAATACAGTTTACAAACCATCTTTTTTTCTTACATCTTTTTTCTCATCGCTTCTAGTACATGTACAAGTTTGAATTTGTTTGAATTTTAACACATATTTGTTTAATAACGGAAATTCTTGACTCACCATGTTTTTTTCTTAAGCTAGCTAATACTGTGAAAAATACAGCATAAAGTTTCTTTGTTTATAAAGATTTAAATATTAAGCTAACCCATACAATGAAAAATTTCTAGCTCTGCCATTGATCACATCAAAGTATATCTTTTTTGTTTTTGAATGACACATCAAAGCATATCAATGGGTTATTTTGTTCCACTACCAGCGTTTGTAATTAAAGATGTGAAAGAGAAGGAAATTTGCATTTTGATCTTTTGGATGTGTTAAATGGATTTAGTCTTTTCTATTAATTTGTTTAGGCTAAATAATCAAAGTGGTCCATAAGTTTTGCATAATCAATAGAAATGGTCCTTGAGATTGAAAATCAATAGAAATGGTCCCTTAGATTGTCCACCATCCATGATTTTGGTTATTCCATTAAAAACTCTTTGGGCAATTTTCAAAGCTTCGTAATTCA